CATAACCATCCCACTATTTTTAAAATAAAATATTAAAAATAATAATAATTAAAATTTCTATTGATAAAAAAAAAAAATTACCCAGTTGTTTCCACTTTTCTGTTTTTGTAGTTTTGTATATATTTCATTACCAAACAAATATCATATCAAACTACTTTTACCACTTCCTCCTAGTCTGAAGATATAAATTATACAAGGATGCCAAAATCTTTTCACATTTACTTCTCGTATTTCTTTCTCTTTTTTAATTAAATGTTCTAGATCTTTTAAACTTCTAAGCCAACTTCTAGAAAGAAGCTCTTTTTTATTTCTTAAAATATTTTTTACTATTAAATTATTTTCAACAATATAATCAATTCGTTTCATATCCTCTAATCGTTTCTTATTAATATCTTTGTTTGTAAATTCATCTGCATTTGATAAATAACAATAATTTTTAAAAGCCCAGAAACCATTTTCCTCGTTTGATAATTCAGAGGCTTTCCATCGTGCAAGTATACGTTTTTCGATGCAATCCTTATTACAAATGTCGCAAATCTTTTCTTTCTCTTGGAAATCGCATCTACATTTTTTTCTGTGTTTTGGATCTTTGCATCAATTCTATTTCTTCTGGCTGTAGTCACGATTTTGGTCTGAGTCATCGTTCAAATATTTAGTAAAATTCATTGCATTATGACCAAATAATTTCTTTACACTTTTTATAGTATTTTGTTTATCAAATTGAAAATAAGCTTGCTCGTGAAATTTTCCTGATTCGGTAGCTTTGTATTGGCTCGACACGTATGTCAGACCAAGTTTTTCCAATACAGCAAATTCCTTTTGTGTCTTTGGTAAGACGCGTTGGCATTTTATATTGGATTGTTTACAATAAGAACATGTAATCTCATTACATTCATTCAATTTACAACACTGATCACAAGATGTTAGCTTGCACGCCAGTGTTGCTTCTTACATCTGTCACATGTTGGAACAACACCAGTTTTAAAATATTCTTCTTCACGTTCATGTTTTTCTTTTTTAGTTGGGTTTTTTTTACACTTAAAACACGTCAAACAAGGAACACAGTAGTATACAGTAGATATAACATGTCTAAATCTATAATTGCCAGACATATTTTTTTGTTAGTTTTGTTTTTTTAAATGCAAATCTGTTTTTGTTCTTTTTTATTTTTTATTTTTTTAGATTCCTCTTATTTTTATAGTAATTTTTAATTACTGTGCCAATTTTAATTTCTATACTAAACCAAATTAAAAATTTTTTTTCTAATTCTTAAAAGGTAATTTTTAATCTTTTTAATACAATGATGCAATAATTTAAATCATTTGATCATCTAAAAAGGAAATTTAATTGTTATTGGTTCTTGTACAATTTACTGTACACAGATTTAAAAAGTATAAAACACCCCGAATCCTCTCTTCTAAAACTAATTTGTTAGTTACAAAATAACAATGAAAAATTCTAAATCAGGAATAGAAATATCCACTACGACACATTTAGGAAGGGATGGGTTTTTGAAATATACAGAAACAAGATCATTCACAAAAGATATTTCTCTGAAAATCATGAAGATAAATCAGTTCTGAACCATGTAATCAAATATAAAAAATATTATGAAGCAAAATTAAATAACATATCAAACACTATTGATTACAAAAACACTAAAGCAAAATCAAAGAAGCCAACAAACAACAAACTCAAAATTAATTTTATAATTAACTAATTTATACTATATAATATATCAAATCAACGAACAACTCAATAAAGCTTAAATATATTCTTATTCATTTATATCTGTTAAAAAATAAATCTGAAGCAATGTAAATTGATTCAGACACGAACAAACATACATTTTTAACACACATAAACAAATTTGATTTTTTTTTAAAAGCAAGCGACCGTTTGTACAAAAGTTTATCGAACCAGACGGAGCGTTCTTAGTGAGATTAACTTTTGGTTCCTATTGAGTTACCTTTGTAAAAATCTGAGTCGACATAGTTTTTTATTTAATATTTTAAATAAATGATTAATTTATTTTAATACATTCAATAAATTATAATTGTTATTTTAAATAAAAAACATAATAAACTCTTTGTCAAATTTTGAAAATACAAAAAAAGTAAATATAATCCAAAATAAACTGTGATAATATTAATAAATAAAATTTTAATAACGCAAATTCTTTTCATTTCAGTGAGATTTACGTATGGGATAACAAAAATTAGCCATAAGAACTTTCTATAAATAATTTTAACATAGTGAAAAACAATTGGTATTTGAAAAAAATTATAAATTCTTAAGAAATTTACAATATTTGTCGTGTATTAATTATCAAATCTTAACAATATTCCGATATTATTAAACAAGCTAAAAATATAATTTGAAATAAATTCATCAAACTCTTTAATATTAGCCACTTTGTAATGATCTCTTTCATCTTCAGCATTTCTCAAAACAATTTTTAATACATCATTTAATCACATCAAATTTTTATTTGCTGCATGAATCTGAATATTATCTGCTTTAAATTGATTTCTTTCAGTTACAAGTTCCTCATTTCTACTTCTTAAACACGTATTATCATGAATCAATTCATCTTTATCAGCATTTAAAGCGCATATTCTTTGTTCTAATTCATAAATTCTTATTTGCAATCTAGAATTTTCCGTGATCACTATCTCTCCGCCTGTAATTCTCGGTTCCATTTTTTGTTAAAACTCATTTTTCATGATCTCAATTTATTTTTATACCCTATTTCAAAAGAATTAATGTGAAAAGAAACAAAAAAAGAACTCAAATAGTTTATTAACAATGTATTTATTTTATTTTATTTTATTTAATAAATATTATTGAAACTAAATTAAACTAAATTTGTTTCTGAGATATGACAAAAATGAGATCTTGATTAGAAACAATTACAACTTGCTTGTAATTGTTTATCATCAAATCGAGGCGTTTGTTATATCGAAGAAACAATCGATGAAAAAATAAAACTTGGTTCTTCTCTGAAGAATGAAAAAGTACAGAGCATCATTCAAGAATAAAATAAAGAAGGTCATCACAATTTTTCAGGCTGGAACCTGAAAAATTGTTATCTAATCAGTTTAAAACTGATAGATATTTTTTTATTTAAATATTAAAATGTTTTTTCCAGAAATAAATATACTTAATAAAATGTTTATAATCTTATGAAAAGCATTTTATTAAATATATCCTTAAAACGAATTAATTATAATAAGTATAAATTAAAAATTAATAACAAAAAATGAAGATAGTGACGAATTAAGATTTGATCAAATTTCAACGTTATGCCAAGATTGGGTTATTACTGAAATAATTTGAAAAATTCAAATAATTATTTCCAAAGTATTAATAACTAATCAGTTGTTAAAACCGATTAGATAGTTTTTTATATAATTTAAAAATGTCTCAAAGTAATTCCGATACTGATATTCAAGATTCAATTAACAAAGATATTGTTCTAAGTAAAAAAAGAACAATTTTGGTGGTTTAGAGAGAACGAAAACATAAATTTTCGAAGACTGATCATGTTTCTTGATGATGAAAGTCACATAATTGAATATATTCAAATCAAGTTGAGCAATAAGCAAAATGCTCTTCTTGATAAAGAACGTTGAGAATTTCTTAAGCAGTATAAATTTGTTCTCGATAAGGACAACAATATCATTGAAGAAACCACCAAAGAGTATTTACTTGAATTATTTTACTCCAAAGCAAAATTAGCAAATATTAAATTTAAGAATAGTTATTCATTTGATTTACACAAATTCAATATTGAGATTGTTTAAATTTATTTAGTTTTATTTTATTAATAAAATTATAACTTATAAATAAATATTATTTTACAAAAAAAAAGAAAGAAAATACCAATTTTTTAAAAAAAAATTAATCATCAATTGGCTCATGTTTTTCTTTTAGAGCAATATATTTCTTGTTTAATTTAAAATATTCACCATTTGTATTTTTAACTTCTTTTTGAAGCTTAACAATATTTTTGACAAGTGATAAACCTTTGTTATATTTTTTAAAAGCATTTCTACAATTTTCTTTTAGTTTTTCACAATCGTGACAAGTAGTAGCAGATTTGTTTGGTATTTCATTTATTTTTTTCTTTATTTCGAGAAGTGAAAAGATAATTGCGTCAATATTTTGTTCTATGGTATTTTCCATTTCTAAAATAAAAAAAATAATAGCTATTAAATTTGTTTGTAAACAGAAAAAAAACAATATAAAATTAAACTCTATCATCAGTTAAGAACTTAAAAACCAAGTGTGCACATAAGGGCAAATAGCAGTGAGCCGGTTGCTCATAAAGCTACTATCCGTTGTACAATAGACTAAGCCCCAGTTACTTAGATAAGAAAACACAAAAGTTCTTAACTTTAACTAGTATATTAATCATCTAGATATTATAAAGTAAAAAAAAAACAATACTAACTTTGAAAACCAAAATGTGAAAAGCGAGAGAACGAAAAAAAAAAAAAAACAACAACAAAAATTTTTTATAGATTATCAAATTATGTAAACAAAATCTCATTAAAATTATCTTGTTATTATAATCATAAAGTAATTTCAAGTTGATGATTCTAAAAATAAAATTATAATATATATTTGATTTGGTATTGAACTAACAAGCCCCATGGCGAATGAATAGGGTAGGTGAGGCTAAGCGTCAGTCTGCATGAACACACAGTAGAGAAACTACCAAAATTAGATGCGATTGCTGATTTGTGCCGGCCAAAATTCGGCTAAAGTCAGATTTTCATCAATCAATGTAGCCTAGGCGAATCGCATCACATACTTTTTTGTGATTCTGACCTTTTTTATCTTATCCATAATTTATTTTATCACAATTTCTATCCTACATAAAATACTAAACTAAAATTAAAATAACTGTATATCTGCTAATCACAACATATATTTTAAACTAAAATTAGACTATTAAATATATATACATATAAAATCTAATTTAAAAATTAAAGTAATCAATATATATAGCAACATAATTTTTAATCTAAAATTAGACTATTAAATATATGTATAATATAAAATCAAATCTAAAAAAATAAAGTAAACAATATATAAATTATTAGTTTAAAATTAAATATTTAATAAATAAGTTTTTTAATAATAGTTAGATTATGCTAATGAGTCAAAAATCAAAGTATTTAAACTCCTGCAAAAGATATTCAAATTTTTTATTTAAATTTTTTTAAATCAAATATTACTAGTTATATTAAAATTAAAATAACACGTATATTTTGTTAACTCTAATATAAATATTATATTAAAATTAAATTATAATTTATATTACATATGTAATTTAATATTAGAACTTTCTAGCAAATTTTTTATTAATAAAAAACGAACGAAAAACCTTTCTCTCTTTTTACGATTCATTCGTTTAAACCTTTGTACATTCATAAAAATTGTTATCCAAACTTATT